CCCCTCCTTGTCCCCCCCATCCCCCGCCCCATTCACCTCTTGCATCGACCTGGAAGGAAACTATGTTTAGTGGACATAATCATGATGTCTTTTTGTTGGCACAAGAATGTCACAGTTGTTTGTTAGAGAGGAGCTGAGACAAAAAGACAGCGTATGTAGTCAAGGAAAACCCAATTTAATTCACTCACTAATTCTGCAATGCTGTTCTGCAATATGCCGTTCAGAGAACAATAAAAAACGCGAAAAGTTCTGCCAAGAAGACGAAATTTGGCTTCACCTACACGTCAAAACGCGCAGAGTGCACTATAAATGTAAAATGACATTGAAAAAAATTGCCTCGTCAACATTTCCTACAAGAATGAATGAACAGCTATTGAAATGTTAATATGTCAGAATAAATGATCTTTCAATATTCTGAAAGATACTCTTGAGGTGGAGGGGGGGTGGGGTGAATGGGATTGGTGCATTCCCCCTCCTTTCGATTCGTTGTACTCTCAAGAATTAAGCCTCTTTCTTTTTTATCAACAGATTGTCTATGTTTACTAGTGCCAATATGGCAGAGAGCCTTTTACGGGCGCATTATAGGCGATCCTATTCGCCGGAAACGGTCGCTCGCCAGCTAAAGCCGAAATAAACAGCTTTTAGTTCGTCATTAGAGATTCTTCTGTGTGTTCCCTGAATCCTATTTTCGGTGCTTCTCCTTCTCCTACAGGTTTTATAAATTAAGTGATGTATATAGCAAAAGGAATATACGTTTAGTTCAATGAATTGTGTTTACGTACAAAAAGGTGTCTGAACGGAGTGATCATGAGTAAGCCTGACAGGATTGTAAGGCTTGCGCCCTATTCGCTCTCTCTATTTTTGCTTTTTTTTTATTGATTCTGGGCGTGCAAATGCTTATTATAATTGCTCAGGTAATTCGCTTGTAAAATTTATTCATCGTCCAAAGAAAAAATTTAATGACGCGTTCCTTCAATGTTTTGCGACAAGTGCACGATCTCCACAACTAAAGCTTCGACACAATCATTGAAAGCGAACCAGTTTCTTTCTCTCCTAGTCGTTTTAGAACAATCATAGAACTATACGACTCACATCGAGTTAATCATACTGCCTGGTGAGTTTCGCATTGCAGATTTAAAAAACAACTTTTAGGTCAGTAAGAGGATCTGCCAGTACCGAGGTACGCGGGAATTGAGCCAGTATAAGTATTAGAATTGCAACCTGTATTTACATCAGATCCTTCAGATCCATTCACCGTTCTGGAAAATAACCTTGTCGACTTTCAGAGCTTGTGTTTTCATTCAGTAGCTTAAAAGTTGCAAAAGTATCCACTACTGATGTGTNCTTTCTACTTTCACCTACCTCTCGAAGAATGCGCACAGAAAGATGGAGTTTGTTGTGGTTATAATTGTAGGAAGCAAATGCTGTGAAAGATGTTTTTCCCCTTCCCATGTTCTTGTTCTTTTTTTATTTTTGCTATTTTTTTTTTTTTATTGATTCTGGGCGTGCAAATGCTTATTATAATTGCTCCGGTAATTCGCTTGTAAAATTTATTCATCGTCCAAAGAAAAAATTTAATGACGCATCCTTCAATGTTTTGCGACAAGTGCACGATCTCCACAACTAAAGCTTCGACACAATCATTGAGAACGAACCAGTATCTTTCTGTCCTAGTAGTTTTAGAGCTATCATAGAGCTATACGACTCACATCGAGATAATCATACTGCCTGGTGAGTTTCGCTTTCCAGATTTAAAAAAAAAAAAATCAACCTTTAGGTCAGTAAGAGGATCTGCCAGTACCCAAGTACGCGAGAATTGAGCCAGTATAAGTATTAGAATTGCAACCCGTATTTACATCAGAACCTTCAGATCCATTCACCGTTCTTGAAAGTAACCTTGCCGACTTTCAGAGCTTGTGTTTTCATTCAGTAGCTTAAAAGTTGCAAAAGTATCCACTACTGATGTGTTGA